ATATTTCTTAAATAGCTATGTGTTTAATAATAAGAATAACATAAGATTAAAAAATAGAAATAATATATCACTTTAATATTAATTGAGTAAACAGATTCAAGATTATTGCATATTATTTCATTTCAGTATAAGAAATAAAAATACTAGAGCATTAGTTCGGATATGAAATATTATTTTTAACAATTAAAGCTAAGTGGATTTTTTAGAGGTAAAATACTACTAAAATTAAAAGGTTTTTTTTGAATGAAAAAAAATGACAATTTGAAATTACCTCAACTATATAGGTATTTCTTAACTTTATCTTTTTTTTCATATTTTACCTAAGTCATAAGTCAGATAATTCTTATTATAATGAGATATATGCTCTAAGTATTCTTTGTTATTGAAAACTGGAAATCCTTTAACAAACCATTTTAATAATTCCAGATTCTAATTTAAAATATCAGTTTAAATTGTTTAAGATTTTAGTTTTAAGTAAATTTCTGAAGTTTTTAGGTAAAATATAAAAGGAATTGAATTATCATTATGATTGACTTTAACTTGCTATTCACTTTGATGTTAACTAAAGCAGAATTAAGTATTTTCTTGATTTTAGGTTATTGATGTGTAAAATAATAGATTACTATGATTGTCTCAAGAAATCAATTTATTAGAAAATTTTTAACTGTTTAAATTTTAAAAGGAATCATCTTGAAAGCAATATACATAAAATACCTTATATGATTTGAATAAATAATATCTTTTACTTTCTAAATATTGGCTATTATTTTTGTAATCTCAAATGATCTACTAGATTTCCAAAAATAGAAATAAAATAAAAAGAAAATATAGAATTCATTTTTATTAACCATTATTATTATAAATTATGGGTATCATCATATAATTATTATTCTTTTAATTTCAAATAAATTTGGAAGTTTGAGGTAATCTCTTACAAAAAATTAAAATAATTTTTATTATATAATTGTTGTCTATTATTATCTTAATCATACTGTAAATGTTAATCATATCAATACCCATTATCAATTAAGGCTAAAATTCATTTTAACGAATTATATATTAATTGAATTTAAAATAATAGTAATGCTAAAAATAATATGCCTATTTTTCATTAAATATGTATAGGATTAATAAAAAAAAATTGTATTTCATAAAATATTCAAAATATTAATTCTCATTTTTCTTAATACTTCCTGATTTATATTTCCTTAGATGAATCATCCCAAGTGATCAAATATTCTCCATCTTCACTCATATACCCATTTATAGAGGTGCTACTAAATTCAATAGACTATTCAATTTTAAATTCATCATTTTATGTCTTTCTAATTAAATAAATATATTAATGATGCTTATTCAATAATAATTATTTTGATTTAATAAATTATTATGGAAATAATCCACACATATCATTACCTTCATTTAGAAAAATATCTTTTTTTCTATCAAACTTGTTATTTACACTATTCAATTCATAGATATGTATCTATTCGCCTCTAGAGGGTTGAAATGCAAAATATTAATTGTTGATAAAGCATATTCTATCTCCATAAGATTTAGTTTTAATATTATCAATTACAATCCACTTTTAATCTTATTGAGAGTATTGAATTACTAATATTTATTTATCCATTCCACAAGAAATAACTATATTTTCTTAATCATTTAAACTTAATTAACAAACACAACTATTATGATTTGTGATAATTTATTAACAGATCCATTCATTTTATTTAATCCAAAATTTAATAGTATTATCACCTCCACTAGATACAATCATATCTTCATTAGTATTTAATATTAAACATCGAATACTATCATTATGTGCTTTGATTATTTATGAGTAATCCCATTAATTATTATTATTTTTTGACCAAAATATAATAGATCCATCACCATCTCCAGATATCAATTGATTTTATTTTTTCATGAAATTTAAAGTGCTAACCCATTTTCTATGTTCATTTAAGACTTATTGTAATTTCAACTTTCCTTACTCGAATTCATATATTTTTATTTGTTTACCACAACTCGCTGCTAAAATTTAACAATTTTTATTCAGAGCAATTGCAAAACAATTATCATTTTACTTAATAGAATTTTCTTTTATTAATTCATAACTAAATGGTTTTAATACGCAAGGAATATCTAAAAGCAATTTTTCAATTTTAAAGTTTCGAATTTATAAATGATTATTTTACTCAAAATTAGATTAATTCTTTTTTTTTCTACGTATTTCATTTACTATTGATTTTCCTTATTCAATTGATTGCATAAGTTATTTGTATAAATTTTTTTCATAATCTTCTATTTCACATAAATCTTTTATTAATTTGTCAATCTCTGATATTCCTAATTATGGGAATCGTTAAATATTAAAGTTAAGATAAGGAAGGAACATATCATTAAGACTATCAAGGGCGACTTTAAATTCTTAAACATTTTTTTCAAAATCTTTAATCTTAATGATTCCTTGCTTAATCCATTCATACAAAAGTTCTATGGATGTTAACATTTCAAGATGTTAGCTATGGCGAGGCAAACAAAAATTACAATAAGGTCTTTAGTTTTGGCATGTACTATCTATACAAAACCCAATTATTTATTGATTTCGATGATCTGCTTAAGTACATCTAATTTACATTTCCTATTTCTATTAAAATTTATATTAAAAACATAAGAAGTATATTTTATTGTAATAATTATCCCAATTAACCTTACGCACTCTTGACTTAAAATACGTTATTTAGATAAACAGTGTCCAAAAAAATTACTAAGATAAAAAAGAATAATTATACAAGAAAAATTAATAAGCTTCTAATTTCAAATAATTAGAGTTATTATCAACCAATACTTATGGGACTTAGTATTTCTACTAATCTTAAATATTTTATAATTGTCAATATTTTACTTAGAGTCATATTTAAAGAAAAGGATTTGATTGGCTGAATATGTTGAGACATTTTGCTTATATAGGGTCAACATTTCAATTTAATTAACAAGAGTGATTTGATATTAAGAAACTTTTTCAGATATAAAAGAAAAATATCAATAAAAGCAATTAAATTTGTGAACATGGTTTCTTTCAGACAGAAAATAAGACATAAATAAATAAATATGATCATAACTCATCCTTATTAATACTTAAATCGATTAATCAAAAAAGGATTTTATTTCATCAATATAATTGATTGCAAATATTACGGATAGATATTATAGAAATATAAGCTGAGGTACTAAATTGGGAATTAGAATATTTAAAGATAATCAACCTAGTGTATTTCAAAAATATTAAAATTTAATTTTTCATAAGATCCTGAATTAAAAATTATAAATTGTAATTTACTAATTCAATCCGTCAAAACATCTGTGATTATTGTAAATATAAGTTAATGTTTAACAATAGAATATAATAATCAACAATAGTTATATGGATTATTATTTTTAACTGCCTTTAATATTTTCAAGATATAATTTAATAATTGAACACACCTCGAAGATAAATCAATTTATAATATTTAATAAATATTTAGAGGAGTTGTAAATGAAGTCTATTTCATTTGACTAAAATAAATATAGTTAAAAATCCATGATGTAATTTTTTAGAGCTAAATTAAATGAAATGAGTGAGTTTATAGAGTAGAAAATATGAAAGGGATTGATAAAATTTTAGGATAAAATGAATATCTAGTATTTATAAAGCTATATATTTATTTTATAAATTACAAATTCTGTATTTTTTTCTAATTAAATGTTCGTTTATACATATTGGCAATATTTTGGTTTTCATAGCACATAAAATTCTTTTTGCAAAGCTCCATCCCATTTTGAAATTTAAATACAAATTGGATTTTAATTTATAAATTATTATCAATGAGCCTCCGAGATTTAAAAATTTAGGAAAATTATTTAAAGCACATACAGGTAAGCTAATAATTCAAGCTCATATGTTAGGTCAGATGAATCGAGGTAGATAAAATGAAGTTTTAGGGACAATTCTTCAAACTTCTTATCAAGATCTAAAAATGATCCAACTACAACTAAACCTGAAAGTTATCAAAAACTTCAACATAGATTGCTATTTTGAAATCTTATTGATGGAGCTAGTATTGGATTTGAAATGAGTACTAGTAGAAAATAGTTCCTTTCGATACCAATTAGGTTTAGTTTATAGATTTTCACAAAAATTTATCTTGATAGGTATAGCATGAATATCAAATAAATTATGAAGTAGAGTAATCTAAGATAGTTTAATCAAACCTGTATTAGAAATAGTCTCTACTAATTGTCAATAATCTTATTTGAATTTAATGGTAATAAAAAACTTAACAATTACTTTGTTATACCTTCCTTTATTTAAATAATTTTCCAATATTTAATAAAAGGTCAATCATATAAGGATTGAACCTATGAGTCAAAATGAAAGATATTTTCTCTTGATTTCAGTAGATGATAATTCATTTACAAATCAAATGTTAATCTAGTTTAAGTGGTTGAGACAATTCTCGATAGCCTTTTTATAAGAAAGGCTTAAAATAGAGTTGATTTCAATGTATGCTTGAACTTTTAATTTGTTTATAATCATAATTACATCGTTTCATAGTTTATTGTATCAATCAGTAACTATCTTGTTCTTCTTTATTACTGGCAGTGATTTAAGCTAAATAGGAGAGAAACTTTGAAGAATTAAAAACTTATTTCTTTAAAACTTCAATGGTATTGATGATTTACAATAATTAAACATTTTCTGAAGTCTCTTTTATTTTTAATTGATTTAAATATTGTTTCATAAATAGAAAAAATACCAAGAAATAAAGAGGTTAAAAGGTTTAGTTTGTAATTTAAGATATAATTCAACACTATATTTTGTTTGTGATGAGAAGAATCACAATATTATATACAAAAGGACAATTAATACACATTTAAATGAGCTTACCTCATTAGATTTGAAGATAAAACACTTATATTATATCTACCATTCTTAGCTAAACCACTTGATTATTCCTTAATTTAATTTTAACATTTCCTCATATTATATTTTGATATTATGAAAATGCATTTTCATATTTCAACTTTGTTTTTGATTACTTATTTTAATTCTCATACTCTAAATTTATAATTGCAATTTCAAAAAAATAAACTTAATAAGTAATTTAAATACATTAATTATTCAAACATTAATAGTCACTTCATTTTTATAGAAAATAGGAAAATGTCTAAGAATAGTATATGACTGAATTAATTAGAAATCAAAAACTATCAGAACCACAATCTCTTTAATAGTTTCTCTTTTAAAAATCTTATATTAATAACAGAAAAGTGAAAATGATTTTAAAAAGACTTTATTATTTTATTTGTAATTTTGTATCATTTTAATATTAATTCTTATTTACTAAAACAAATGTATTCTAATTTTCTTTCTTCAAATATTCATATTATTCAGAAATTATGCGATAATATCTAATTTAATTAATCACAAAATTTTACTTATTCATTTTATTATAATATTATTAAAATATGCAACAATAAAGACTATTGAACTCGAGAATTGCTTTATCTATATAATAAATGAGAAGGAGAAATAAATGTTAAAAGTCAACATTACCTTCCTCCCAGATTTTTTTCTTCATTCCCCATTATTTAAGCTATAGGTTGAAAACTCATGCTTCCAGGCCAGCATTTGCTATTTCAATGTGAAAAAATGCTGCTTATAAATCTGTTAATGGATAAGCTATTAATTAGTAATTTGTAAACAAACTATAGACCAAAGAAAGTGCAAATGCTACAGCAATAATGACTATAAGTATCAAAACAAGAAAAGATTGTTTTTTTCACAATAACAAAGCCTTTATGTTCTACATAATTTTGGTTGATTAAATGAGGAAATTTAGAAAATGCCACATTCAATACTGGTAAACATTGCCCTAGTTGGTAATCAAGATTTAAATCAAAATCAGAATATTTTTATATTCAATTCTCAAATGTCTTCAACATTATATTAAATACTTCTTAAATATAAATAGTTTATTATTGAAATTCTTAATTTTCATAAAAATAGATTAACTTATTAATTTTTATAAAAATAATAAATAAATTTTTTAGAGATTTTAGATAGAATGGAAAGCCACTCTCAAAAAATTGTATTTAACTGACTCCATCATCGGAGGGGATATTAACTATTAAATGAAAACATTCTACTATGAATTAATAATTGAGAATATCATAAGAAAAAGTAAGATGGAACTAAGGAAGGATAGATTGACTTAACTACGGTTAGAATGAACATAAATACATAAATCGAATATGGATTGAAGGAATAATTGAGTCACTTTAATAAATACTCTGAAATCAAACTACTTACTATTTTTATTAACATCCCATAGGAAGAAATATAATTGTAAAATATGATCATAAGTAATAATCTTGACTTTTATGGAATAAAATTTATTGATTAATAGATGCTATTGAACAAAAATTCTGCGAGTTATAGAAGCCACTCTTGGCTTTACTTATTTAGTTTAAGCCATAATAATATTGTGATTTAATCAACATTCTAAAAATTTAAACCTTTCAAAGAAGTAATAATCTATGATGAATTTTATATAGCTTAGTAATGAGAATATTGTATTTAATTATAAGGAAGTCTTCTCTATACCAATATACTCTTAATTTAACAGTAATAAATATTTTCTGGATATTCAAGTTTTCCAAATAATTATTACATTAATTAAGCTAAGAAGATTAGTAGAAGCCGAGGAGTAACAGAAAAACTGTATCTTATAGCCTGGTTGAACCATAAAATGTAGTTAATTACTTTAATTAAGAATACGAATTAAATCTTAATTTTTAAAGGATTTTACTTCTAGGATTTCCATTCTCATTCAGATTAAAGTTTTAGATTGACATATTTATAAATAGACCTAATCAAAAAGTTAACAATTTGAAAAAAGGTTCTAATTATTTATTGTTTCACAACATTATATTATTTAAGTAATTTAATTATAACATATTTATTACTTAAATCCTAATACAATAACTATTTGTGAATTAAGAATAAATAGATCTGCTATCTACATAATTAGAGAAAATTTAATTAAATCAACTATGCTAATGACTTCAAGAATCAAAAATTAAAATTTTGAAATTATTTTCCCATTTGATTTCTAAGATCCTTATAATAGTTTAGATATTTAGGATTAGATTATATGATTATAGCTCTTTTACTAGAGGATTTTTAGTTAATAATCAACCTATGTTAGATTTTTCATCTTTCTAATATAAAGCTTATTTTCATTCAAAAATAATTTTTTAATCTAATCATAGTAAAATTTTACCCAAGTTTTTAGGATTTCAAGTGAAAATCTCTAACTTATTATAATAATATTATTGATGATTTAATCAAAGTGATAAATGTAAAGATAATATAAAATAACAGTATTTCAATGGCTATATAAATAAATAAGTGCTTCTAATTTAATAACTGTGTAATATTTATTTACTACTTTGTATTTTATCAATTTAGTAATTAAATTGTCTCCAAAAAGTAAATAATTCAGGCAGATTAAATATTTTTCTCTCATTTCAATATATAATAATAAGTTAAACTAATTAAATTCATTATATAATTTTATTAAAAAGACAAAGCAAATTTATTTAAAAATCAGTTTTTAATCTTATCAATGATATATGCAAAGCGAATTAGGCTATGTAATTAAATTAATAGATAAATTTTGTTTTATAGAGTTAATTATTTTGTTGATAATTTAAAAATAATCATATTTATAAAAATTAAAAATAAGTTCATTATCCCATATATTTCTTTTAGTTTTTTCTTTTTAAATTCTTACAATACTATCTCCTTAAATAAAAAATAATAACAAACAAAGTTGTTAATTAAATTAGCATTATGTTTGGATTATGATAATAAAAAGGTTGTTCATGAATTATATATATTGAAATTTCAGCATTTGATACATCATTTTCAGCAAATAAAACAAAATTAAAATTGTTATCATCAAAATTTTAAAAATCAATAACATATTATTATATTATTCCTAAATGAACATGTAATCCATTTTAAGAAATGAAATGGGTAGTATTTATCCTTATCATTTAAATATCAGATTTTAATCGATAAATATAATCATAAAATAATCTATCTTCTCGCAAATCATAAAAAAATATAGTTTTCTCAAAAAGGTAATCCATAATTAAATAATTCTCATCCACATAATAAAAAGCTGATTAAAAATCTAATTTAGGATTTCTAATCTGTTTTGTCAAATGAAAAGATAAAATAGAATTATTATGTACATCAATTTAAAGTTTAATCATAAAAGAATTCTGATTAATGAAAAATAAAAGGTTTACAGTCGTAACATTGGAATTGTATCGAGATGAAACTAATTTTATTTATTAACATCTGTTAAATAAAGGTATTATTTATTCAATCTCTTTGGTAATTATCTTTGAAAACATTAAAAAAAATCCATTAGAATCAATTAAGTAAATTGATATTTCGAATTAAAAACTTATTCCATTCTCTGAATATGAAAAAGTAACATAATTATCTTACGTTTGTTCGATATATTAAATATCAACATAATCACCTGGTAAGTCAATAATACGAAAATTCTAATCATTAATAAATAAATAAATCTAATTTAATGTATTCTGTAATCTAACTAAATTTTTTGTTTTGATAATGTTCTACTACAAAGGCTAAATAATGATAATGTTTATAATTTATGACTAGATTTCCAAACAATTTTCATTGTCTTTGAAAATACAATACAATAATTGTATATGTAATTCATCCTCCATTTGAGAAAACCATAGAAATTAATGATCTTATATCCACAATACATAATTGAGTTAATCTTAAGTATTTGAATATAGGATATGAAATACAGTGTTATCTTCTAAAATGATTGCTTTAAATCTAGATTTTAATTCCTATGTTCCTATTTTCTTTTGTAACTATTGTTATCTGATACAAAAGAAATTTTCATGATTACAAATGTTGATTTCTTATATAAAATGAATTGGATCTCTAATTTTAGTTTTTTGATTCTCTTTAATAGATAAATTATTAATGGGACCTTAAAAGTATTCTGAAATCTTTATTTATAAATTTTAATTTTTTTTAATATTTAATGAAATAGTATTCTATAATGGTTATATTTGATAACAATTATTCTAAATTAAGATTTTGATAGGTATATCATCATCTAATCTCTAAGTTGACATTAATTTTAACTCATGCGATGAAATCAATGTTTATTAGTAGCTCATATTAGTTTCAATTAGAGCAACTATTTTATTCAGGTAATGTTGCCTAATTTAGCCATTTCTGAAATAAAATAATGCATTATTTATAAATTCAAAATATGTATCATCAGTTCCTTTAATATCCATCAAGCTGATTTTGAAAGGAGTAAAACTCAATAAAGTTATGAAGGAAAATTAATTTTTCACAGTTAAAATAGCTAAATTAAAATTGTTATTAGAGTACCGTAAAGGACTTGAGAATGAATAATCTTCTAAAGTATAATTATGAAATTAATGTATTTCAAATTGATCAAAATGATAAAGAAGTATTGAGTTAGTTTAAATTTGTACTGCAAAAATCATAAAATGAGCTTTTACATATATTTTAATTTAAACGATTTAGACATCTGAAAATTGAAAACATCTTACCTCTTCATTTTATTCAAAGGCGAAAATATTTTAATATTGAATAAATTTATAACTTTTTATTTCTTGATAATAAAGAATTTCTCCTGGTTATTTTAATTTTTATGAAAGGTAATTATTCTAAATTTTTTCTAAAATTTTTTTGGAGATTAGAATTGGGGATTGTTAATTTTTAATATAAATAATTATTTATTCCCCTATTTGTTACGCACTTATTATTTCAATATTTGAGTGTGTAACAATCTGTTATGTAATCCCTGAGAAAATATAAATCATTCTAATCTATTTTTTATTTTTATCAATCAAAAAATAATATTCTTAATTTTGAAATACTTCATATTAATGGGTATTTAATATTAATTATATTTTTTTTAATTAACAGTCATGGAAATATATAGAATCTTCAACTTGAAAAACTACATGAGTAAAAGTATACATTGATTTTAATTAAATCTTGCCTTTAAAATTATACATTCTTAATTGATAGTAGCATAGGTTTTCTTGTTCCCCCTCATTCCAGATACTTAGATTTATTACACCATTAGTGTAATTGTTATAAAGAGAAAATGGCATTTATTAGAATGACTGAAAATCTATAATTGACAAAATTGTTTTCTAATTTTATGAACAATCCTTTTCTATTTATAAATTTATTAATTCAGGAGTTTTCTTATCCAATGTTTTTTCATATTAAATTTTGATACACATCATATATTATTTTTCGAATCCATCGAATAACTAAATGAAATATACAAATTTTTAAGTTGGTTATAAAAAAGCACTAATTGGAAAATATCTATAAAATATTACCAATTCTTTAGTTTTGTCTATTTAATAAAATAAATTATATGATTCCATATATATTAATTTAGTATTCAGAATTTCATATTTTTAAATTAAATGTTTATCTATTCTAATAATTAATTCTGTTGAATTTTAAAGAAAGAGGAAATTATAAAAAAAATGTATCTATTCAACTTCAAAAGCTTAATTTAAGACAATCTCATTGTCTAACTTTTAAAAGGGTTATTAGTTATTCTCTTCTTAAAAAGTGATTAGCATAACATTTTGGCATGTTTACAACAGTATTAGTTTTAAGATTTAATTTTCACTTTTGAATAATTCTTAAGTTATCTTCTAATTTGATTCCCATCTAAGCTGAAGATAATTATTTCCTTCTATAATATATAAAGATTGTATTCCTAAGGATTTAGATGATTTTCCTCCTTCACAATATTGTACATCGTCTATCTTGAAAAATTCTTTTAGTTAGGGATTACCTTCATTCATCTTAGATTCCAAAATTATTACTATTTCTTGATGATTAATTAAAATAATTTTCCATAGAGAACATTAGAAAAATGCTATTCTAAATTAATTTTTTCCAACCACCTTTTATATTTTCTTCTTGCACTAATCTTTAACTTAAAAATAAACATCATATTCAAGTAGAAGAATAGTTTCTCCTAATAAACTTACTGAATATTATTTTAAATTAAATTAGCTAAAGCATAATAATATAAAATTTTCATCTAATTAATAAATTTCTTCACAGATCTCTTGTGATGAAATAGTTGTCTCTATTTTAATTCTCTCTTATAAATTACTATTAAGTTTTTCATAATTTAATGTATCGAAGTTCATACATGTTATATAATAGTTGGAATTCAGAAATAATGAACACATCATTTTCTCTTATAACTTACCATAATCTAATGTGTTGAATATGTTATATGAGATTGGTATATTTTTGTAAGGAATTGTAAAAGATTTTTAAATAATTTGCTTATCAATACTTTTGAGTTGGTAGTAATCCTCTTCATTTCCTTCCAATAAAAAACAATTTAAAATGTATTCATGACATGTTATTTTATTTTAAATTTGCTGAATCTCACAGGTTTTTGATTTAGAGTATATTTGAAGAATGTGGAATCCAAAAATTATGAATAAATATTACATATTATTTATATTATTTAAGAATACTGTTTATAAAATGAATAGTGTTTATTCTAACTAAGTTTTAAATTCTTAATATTTTATTTTGATTATAAAATTAAATTATAAAAATACTATAGATGAATGAATGCTTATTTAAATTACTTTTATGGAATTTTTTCACCTCATTATTTTTGAACACAAATTATTTATTAGTTCTTTTTAGCTCTGGTATTTCAAAACTAGTAAATTATGATAACAAAATATAAAATTCATAAATGATTAAGAATATTTGTATTTATCACTTTATTATTCAAAAATAATAGGCCTATATTGAGTATTAAATGTTTTAAAATCAAATTTATTTTTTCTGTCTATTCAGTCAACTTTCGGTTTGGAACTTACTGATTTTTTATAACCATTTTTACTATGCCTTTGAAAATGCATCATAAGAAATGATAAATTGTTAAGACTCCAAGGTTCAACCTTTTCGATATTTTAGGAATGCCTAGATAGCCAGCCAGGTGAAATTAAAACCTATTTTATTCACATTAAAGATTTATTCGAATTCTGAAAGATTGATAAAAATGATTGAATTAGGCAAAAAATCATAACCTTATTCTCTTAAAGGCTCTAGTTTCTCATTAATCTGATTACACATTCCACTCCTTGCTGCATCAAGCCTAGTCAGATCATAAATCATATAATCCCCCATGCAGTACTTCAGTATTTGGTCGCATTCGGTAGACTCACAAATACCAGAAACCATAGCCTTGACACAGAATTTCTACCTCTCTACCAGATTCATAGGCTGGATAGCTAGAGGTGCGTGCATAATGCATTAGGAAAAGGAAATGTAATTTATAGGGAGTTAAGTATATTGCTCTAATCTAAATCTAAAGTAGTAACAACGAAATTTATAAATATAATTTCCATTTTGAAATAAAGTAAATTTATTTTTTAAATTATTAAATAATCTAGAATCATTCAATAGAATTTAAATAAATAAAAATCATGAATTAGGGGTCTAAATCATCCTAATAGATTATATTTATTGCCTTTTACACATTTATGAGAATAATAATTGATTTAATTAAGCTAATTTTTTTAAATGGAAAATGTAATTTATAGGAATGACTATACCTTTAATGAGGTTTAATCTCAGCAATATTTTAATTTCACTTAACATTCTTCTATTTATTGGTAAATTGATTTCATTTTGAGAAATTTAAAATCAAATATTTCAAGATTTTCATTCCTATAATCTTAAATTTTTTCTATAAATTTTTTTTATTATAAATTATTATTTGCATAATTTTTTGAAGATTAGTAAAATATATCAATTTAATTTATATATATAATTCTATATAGTTTTCAAAAGAATAATATTATGAATAAAATAAAAATCCGTGAAGTATTAATTTTAAACAATTTTATTCAATCAATAAGTATAATTCCTCTTAGTTAATCTCTAAAGAGCTAAGATTTAAAGCACTTTAATTTAATATTCTTTGAGTTATTCTGTATCCTAATAATTCCATGAGAAATCTTTATTCCTAAATAAATATTAAGAAATAAGATTTAAATCTTAAAATAAACAATTAGTTTATTATTTGAGCTAAATATTTAATTCTCTTATAGAAATAAATCAAAGTGTGTATATATACTTAATTCAATGAATATTTTATATTCTAAATTGTTAGATTTTAATTTTTTTATGTAGAATTCAAAATGTATGAACTATTGCATGTTATTTTAGTAATTCAAATCATTCAAATAAATTAAAATTAAAATACTTAAACTTTTTTTTTAATTATTACAATTTTAACAATATTTATCTATATTTATATGTAGTTCATTAATCTTCATCTTTCCAAATTTATATTTATTTTGATTCCTTATCCCAAGTGATCAAATACTCTCCATCATTACTCATTCCTCCATATAACCAAGTAGTTTTAAAATGAATAGATTATTCAGTTAGAAAATCTCCATATTATTTTTTCCTAATTAAATTTACATATTCACCATTCTTACTCAATAGTATACATTTTGAATTTATATATTATAAAGGAAATAAACATTGACCATCTGATCCGCACTAAATTGTAATCTCTTTAGTCTTAGTAAATTAATTATTCATAATATTCATCTCAAAAATAAATATCTATTCTTTATCTCTTGGTGACAATGTAAACATATTATTATCAATAAAGCATACTCGATAACCACACTATTCAATTGTTATCCTTTATATTACTTTCCATTCTTTATTCCATTCTGATTGTTCTATTATTAATATAATCTTATCATATCCACATGATACTACTTTATTTTATTATTAATTCAAACTTAATCCATATACATGATTAGAGTGATCAGTAATTGTTTATTAACATAACCATTCATTCTTCTTCATCCAAAATTTAATAGTTTTATCACCACTCCCTGAAATGATTAGATCATCATTTGTATTTATTACTAAACAAAAGATCTAATAATTATGCCCAATTAATATTTATTATAAATTCCATAAATTCATTTAATTTTATTTCCATACTATAATAGATTTATCACGACTTCCAGATATAAATTATTTCTATTTCTTCATAAAGTTTAAAGTATATACCCATTCCTTATGTTCATATAAAGTTTAAATTTATTTGATGTTTCCTTAATTAAATTCATATACTTTAATTTTTGAATCACATCCAGCCACTAATGTTGAACAATCATTATCAAAAGCTATAGCAAAACAGGTATCACTTTATGAAATTGAAGACTTTTGGATTATTTAATAATTCAAAGGTTTGAGATTTGTTGAATGATTAGAATAAACTTTTAATGATTGTTCAATATTTAATTTAGTATTAATTTCTTGTATTTTTATAGTTTTGGGTTATAAACTAATTTATTCTTAATATTCACTTAGTGAATAATTCTAAGTAATTGATTCTAAACTCTTTAATAGTTACTTACATTGATTATATTCTACAAATTAATTAAATTAATCAAACTTATTACCCAATTTTTAAGTCCAACAAAGATTGTTTTTTTCAAGATCATCGATTATTTTTTATAAATTACCTGTTTTATTTTAATTTAATAACATAATTTCTAATTCTTAATAAAAACTATATTTAGAATATTATGATCCAAATTATTACAAATGCAAAATCCATTCCATCATAATCTTGATCAATTAGTTTAATTATTGGATCACCTTTTATTTCATTTTATCAAAAATACTCTGTAATGATTAAATTATATTAATTTAATCCTTTATTATGTTTTCTACACTTCCCATCTTCCTTACTTAATGATCTTCAATTAGCTAAAAAATCTTCTATAATTCAACCATTTTGGCATCTATTTTTGCATGCTTTAAACATTCATTGCACAAAAGTCTCTAATCCTTTGATAGTTTTGGATCAAGTAGAATTTTTACGACTTGTAGATTATGTCCTAAAGGGCAAAAAAAATCTTTTTCATTTTCTATCATTTTTGGTGTTAACATTAAATTAAATAAAAAATTTTTGAGAATTAATTCACAGTTATTTTAGATATTTTCAATAGTTTAAGCAAAAAGAGATACATAAAAACATTATATGCTTACCAATAAGTAAGTAATTTCTTTCTTTTAAATTGATATTCAATCCATTTAATTAAGACATTATAACTCAATAGTAAGAATTTTCTTTCAATTTTTTATATGCTAATAAGCAAATACAAAAGTAGGGCTGCTTATTGTATTTGATTCTTGTATTAAACTTAAAAATGTCTCCAACATTTGTTCTTTAATTAAAGCAATTAACAGATTTTATATCCTTTTTTATAATTATTAATTCTTCATTTGATAGCGAATTTTCTGAAAAATTAGTATACCTGAAGTTTATTTAGACATTTCCCTTTTGTTATTTTATTTATGCATATTTATTATTATCATCATACAAAGGTTTTATATAAAATTCTATATTCAAATATTTGATCCCTTTTTAATGGCTCTTTTCAATTTTGAAAACGTATCCTTCAATGTTTTTGTTGTAATATCATAATTCATATTATACAGTATTTCAATACCAATATATTCATAATAAAGATTGATGAATGTTTTTATTAAATCTCATCCAATAGTTTAGTACTTCACGCAGAAATATTAATAGTGATAGTTCTCTCATTTTTAAGAATGATATTAAATATTCTAAAGATAAATTTTTTTGAAAATATCATGAAAAAACATATTAATTTTGAATGGATAAGAAGCTACATTGACATTTATTGTGACTAATAGAAGCTGAAGAGTATTGAGTTACTAATAACATGTTTGTTAATTTACAGTTTTATAATAATAACTTTGATTTATCATTTCTCATATTTGATATGCTTGCTGGAGCTTGAATTTGTTTAAAAATTCCTTTCTTTAATTGTGAATATAACAATATGATAATCAATTATTCAAAAAACAATCAATAATATTTACTGATTGAGAGAAATAAATTACTATAAACATATCTTTAAATTTCTACTAAACTCTGAAGCAAGCTTCCTCCATGAATTTTAGCAATAGTAAATGAAATGAGGTATAGTTTGTGCATTAAAAATTGACAAGAAGAGATATTTAAAATAATTTTATGATCTTAATTTTTGCTAGATTAGTCTAATTCTAAAATTTCGTTCAAAATTATGAACTTAAATTATTTTAATATTGATCTAAGATCTGAGTAATCAATTAATTAATCCTGAAAAATACTTTTCGCTTTTCCTACATTATAAGTTGGATTATATTCTTCTTATCTCAAATACTTAAAAAAATAATGAAAAAGCTTGAACTTGAGTCAAGATTCAAAACAAATGTGACAATCATTAATTGTTAAGTTTAGAATAAAAAATCTATTATTGATCTTAATAATTAAGGAAATAAAGTCGATAATATTGTTCAATATCATAAAATTAATATCTTTATCAGCAATTTGTTTTAAAAATAGGTTACTTGCTCCTCTCAATCTCTTTTTAAATACTTTATAACAATCAAAAGGATATATAGGTTGGAGAGAAAAAAGCATTCCTTAAGGGAAAAAATTTGTTTGGTTTTTAATATCTCAAAAAGTTTTGCTTCATTAATTGAATTAAAAGCATTTGAAAAATAAGGATTTTCTAAAGTCTTATTAATCTTGTGCTTAAAAATTCAATTTCTTTTTGATCTATATTTTTCTTGATTTTATATAACAATTTTAATTCTTAAGGTTGTACAT